GAAAAATTATATGATTCGGAAAGACAATGCAGTAGACCAGCATATATGGTTTGAAACCGGACGCAATATTAATGTCTTTTTCACATAATTTACAGGACTGCATTACCTAATGGATAGGAACTATTTCTTAATAGCCTAAAGACAAGTGCCCATGCTACATATATATTAATTTTTAAACATAACGGAGAAAACATACTCGACAAAAACATGTCTAGCTTGTGAAAATGGACAACACTAAATCTGACAAATGTGTACATATACATATCCAGGTGAGACGAAAATAAACCCCCTGAAAGTTAGTTAAATCGATGCTAAATCAAAAAGCCATAAGACTTTTTTTCACATATTCTAGATGGCCCAATTTTAAAATAATTCTCATATAGATTCCATTTCAAGTGTGATCCAAACGATATAAAAAATTTGTTCTAAGATAATCTGAAATATATTTGTAACATACTAAACAAGACTTCACCCACTATAAAACTTACTCATCAACATTACTAGCTAACACTCCGTATAATTGTGCTGTTCCTCGATAATTGGAACAGTAAATGAATGATAACGAATCATTGGAGTGGAATTGACCGTTTTTTGAATGCGTGCTTTTTTCTTTTCAATTTCTAGGCGTTGATATCGAGCTGGAATTGAAAGAAAGAACAAGTAAGCAACTGGTGAATAAACACTCTCATAATTAAAAATATAATATGTATAGATAACTAACACCCAACCTTCATCGACTGAGATGGTTGGGCCACGTGTTACGTATGCCTGAACACCGATCACCACGACGTGCAATGCCAACCGGTGTAGGGGATGGTTGGAAGAAAGTTAGGGGCAGCCAAACCAAAACGTGGCATCAGTGCTTGAAGTCACTAACTTCTAGTCTGAGCCATGTTGGTAGATGCAGACTAGTTGGTTGGGGTCCGCGTGACTATCGTAACCAATGGTTGGAGACTCTTGGTGACATGGCTCAGAATCGATCACAATGGCGTCGGTGTATACACTCCCTGTCTTCCCTTAAACTAAGATATTAAAATCGCTTCATATCTTTCTTTCTACGAACCAATTCTTTCTTCTTGTATTATATCTCTATATGCAATCTTTCTCTTATATATTACCACCTTTGACATAACCACTCCTATGAATCCGGTGTTCATCTTGTTGTGCTGATGCGGTATGGCAACCTGGACCGATGCACATATGTGCCTGGTCCTACGTTGTAGCTGACTGACCATGTTTTTTATGCGTATATTTACCCGTAATTATTATAATCACTAAAATAATAACCAAATACTTTCGGATATAATTAAAGCAATCTAGTAACAACAATAAAGCATAGTTGTATATCGTAAAATACACATTTCGTTAACTGATCAGAAAGTATCTTTAAATTAGCTACCACCCTCCACTGACATTACAGAAAATGTTATATGTTCAAGATGAAAAATAAAACAAATTCTACAAATATTATGAAATCAGCTCACCTAAAGAACGACGATTAATTTCTTCCGTGATTTTTGCCTCAGCCAACAATTCTTCTTGAGTTAAACGCCGAACTTCCGGAAGATTTTTGCGCTGAGCGATTTCAGCTAGTAACGCTTTACGACGAACAGCTGTATTCTCAGCAGTGGCTATTCGTCTACGCGTGGTTTCAGCTTCTTGATCAGCTGTAGCTTGTAATGTGCTTGCCCGTAATTCTGGTCGTTCTAAAATATACGTATATATATATATATATATATATATATATATATATATATATATATATATATATATAAGATTTGCAAACAATACATGATAGCTTATAAAATACTTCTTTTGTCAGTAGATTATAATATACCAGAAAAAATAAGTCATCTATGCGAATCCTTCATGGCTTGCAGATGCTAGTGGTTCTGAACAAACATAGAGTGGAAACATACTACCCATCAAATCAGCATTACAGTGTCACACTCGATCACCAATCACAACGTAAACCATTTACAACAGCAATTACACATTATTTACAAGCAACCTGCATTATTGAGATGGGTTTCCATCGACACGACGCCAAAATAACAGTCTAAAGTTACACGCGTTAGATACATTTTCATGGCTATGTACAGTATTAACTGGTCTACACCAGACTGGATACATTATAACTCATTATCCAATAATTGTATACATTGAAATAAGAGATATTCAGCTGAATCGAAATGAAATTAAACCTAATATTATCATTACTTGTAACAGTTCCCTTCTAATAATATATGCATGTGAACCACTTAATAGTTTATTCCTAACCTATTCTTATGATATTTCTATTTTGAAATAACATTGTTAATCATTGCTGATAAACAACGACAAGTTAAGTGAAAATATAATCACCCACACTGCATATGCACAATGTCCAACTCAAAGAAAATCAGATAATCAACTTACCATAAGTTGAAATTTGCCCTGAAGTTTTCTTTGTTATTGTTATCTGTTGTTGCTTATCTTTAATTTGTACGGTAGATTTACTCTGAGAATCAGTTAAACTTTTATCACTATTAGCCTTCTTATCAGATAATTTATTTTCTTGAGGACGAGTAATTTTAGCACGTTTAGGTTCCTGTGGTAAAAAGAAATAGATTATTATCGAATAAATGTAAAATTAATAAATTTTAAGGCATAAATCATTTTAAAAATTTACACATCTTGTTGTACAACAACATAAAAACATTAATCAACAAAAAAGGCCTTTCACTGTTAATGTAGGTCCCTACCTTTTATTCTGTTATTTTATTTTTTGAATTCTTTATCGTGCACGCTACATAGGGGTTTGAGTTATCTTATTAATTTTATGGACTGAATTCTGACTAATTTTTTATCAATATATGCATCCTGTGTGGATTGCTTCGATATTAACATCATGACATAAGTTATTTAGAATAGATGGATTTTGAGTAGCAGTGAAACGCAGGAAATGAGTTCCATCCTATTTGAGACTCAGCTGGGTGCACCTGCATCTTAGCGTTAATACTAAGTATTACAAATACTGTTAGTAGTTTTACACATTCTTAAAGTATGCTAATATTTTCAGTCCTTTTTCAAAACGACATATTTTAGCAACGTGAATGTTACTGTATACAAGAGAATACATGGTTAGCTTAACGTGTTATGTGAAAATTCATCGTTTTTTAATTGAGTTGACTTCATTCAAAGTGAAAAGTTGCATGGAAAACTTATAATTAAAAGAAAAGTTGACACAATTTTCAAAAAAGGGAGATATTCCTACTTTGTAACCTTTTGTAACAACACGATTAGATTGACGCTTTTGGCGTTTGTTCTCATCATCGTCCGATGCTATTGCTGTTGCGTCATCTTCATCAGATCCACTGCTTTCATCAGCGAAATCAGAGTCAATTACATCTTCAACTGAACTTTCTGACTGATAATCTGCATCTTCTTCTTCCTAAAAGAGGAATTAAATGGGAGAAAAAATTATGACAGTCTTTCCATTTTTATAAAAAGATTCATAACTATGATCTTTTCAATTAATAGACTTGTTTTTCTGGGACGAATTCAATATTATAACACAAAGGCGCATGTAAGAAGTGTTCTCCTTATCTGAGGTTTATTCATTATATGTATGAATGTACAGCTTATCGTCTAGTTAAGACACTATAAACACATATAAAACATAAGACTTTGAAGTGGATATATATATATATATATATATATATATATATATATATATATATATATATATATATATATGATTTCGTTGATTAGTTGCGAGATTTCCACAAAAAAGATGTTCAAATACAAAAGTCTGTGACACTGCACGAGGATTTATCCCACTAATCCCAAAGCAAATAATCAAATAAACTCTAGGATATCTGTTGAATTTGCACTTGAATATAGTATTATAAGATGCATATCCAGAAAACGAGCAGCAAACAGTGGGAGAGTATATGGAAGTTCACTACTAGGTATTACCAACAACCAACATCGTAAGTGATTTTTCGCAATGTCAAAGTTGTATCAGTATAAGAGTTACATCCCTTATCCCCAAGAATCTGTAAAATGCGAACAAAGTTGTAATAAGTAAGCATCTCACTAATTTGAGCTATTAGGAATCGGACGGATATCGGTTCCAAAACTTTTTAGAATTTGTCAATAAGACGTGTTTGTAGATATAATTAAACCCCTTCAGGTTCGAACACAAGTCATTAACGGCTATAGCCATATATACTAGGGAGATATTTAAGTTGTGAATAAGTTTGATTGATAGGGTTACGCACATAAATTACTGTCCAACATTATGAAGCTGAACAAATACCGTCGATTAAGGAATAAACTATGATGCCCCGATTACTCAGCAGTAATTAAGTTGGCAATTGAAACACTGAAAAAGGTCCGAACTTCAAACTGAGTGGTTTTTAGGAAGAAAACATATCTTAACAACATCCATTGAAAAAATGAAGAGTAGAATACAATCCTCAATGAGAACCGGACAGTATGATATTAATTAGTATCCATTTTACAAACATTGCCATTGGTATCTTCGGAAACAATGCTTCGTTCCTGATATTTTTCATATACTATGTATAGACTAATAACCTTAAGTGACCTTTAATATATGATAATAATAATAATAATCGGTTTCACGAGTGATGATTGAGCAACGCACTAAATCTAACAAAACATGAAAAACAAATATTAGATAAATAATAAAACACGAACAGTACTTCTGCAAATCCACCATAAATATTGAATAGAATTCATCCTCCTCCTCTTCATTCAACAACCGAGCCATCCGGGCTCCGGCGTTCGCACGGCGTTCTCTATCCACTGAAATCGGCATCGGACCTATAAAGAATGTAAACATAACGAAATTATCAGACTAATATATTGGTTAACTTAATACATGGTTAATTTCCAAAGAGTATCTCACGATAATAACTACTTGAATGTATTTAAATCCTCAAATTACTACTGATTCATGGTGAGAAACAGAATCCATAATGAACGGTATAGTCAAATAAGTTCAATATATGAAATACTTAACCCTTACAATGAAACTTAATACATGTAAGAATGTGAGGTTATCAGACAATAAGGATTGTCAGGGAGAAGTGTTCGAGCAGCTATCACACTAAGAAGCATTCAGTCCTATTACTGCCCAATGTAATGATTTTTTTAAATATCACCTCAGACATATAATCATAACTAATTGCGACAAGCCTGAAATAAGATCCCAATAAATGAAAAATAACAATTTACCACGTGTAGCTTTGAGTATTTTATACACGATAATGCTAGTGCTTTAATCTTTTATCATAGTTATTTGTGTGCAACAACGAAATCTATTGAAGGATGATTAGAGAATAAATTTACTCATTCGTTTCAGGACAAGAATATCTTACTTTCATTAGGTCATTCCCAACAATATGAGTGAGAAACCTTAAGAAAAATTAAGATTTTATCAACTTCAGTAGAATGAATGACATTTAAAGTGATTATCAACGTACATAAAATGTGAGACTAGTTCAAATTAACTAAACTACACAACCATTTATCAGTATTTGTTTATTTAGTTAAACACATAAACATTGGTACAAAGAGGCACCAAATAGATATGGGCCACATAAATCATTCGATTTGTGTAAGGGCTGGGATACTGCCCGGGTGCCAAAACCGAAGCAGGTGGTTTTCTTCGGGGGGGCACAACCCGAACTTTTGACCTAAAGGTCTAATCCACAAGGCAGTGGAGCAACATAAGGAGATGCAGTCCCATGATAGCCGGTGACCAACAATTGTTTCATACGCGATTTGTTTCCTTAGGATCCTGTAGCCCATGCACACCACTGGTTTGGAACCAAGGTTTTCCAACTACCCTAAGTGGATCCTCCGTATCTATCAACCTGCTTAAAGGGCCGAGCCATCGCTTTTCATCTTCTCAATTTCGTAAACAACACGCCCACACGAAAGGCAGTGAGTAGGACTTCTCTATCAGGAGTCCAAGTATAGGGCTGACAGTGAAATACACTCTCAGTTCCAGTTGAATAATGATACGAATTACAATGACCTATGGAAGATTTTGAACGCGAAATTAGTATAAACAGTGACCACTACTCTCACAAACCACTGTCCAAGCGAAGTTGCCAAAACATCCCATTAAGAGGATAAGACAACTTTGGAGTCAACTCAAGTTTTTTACTCAAAATTAGCGGAGAAACAGAAAGTACAAACGAAACTTTTTACTATGAAATAACAAAAAGTAAACAATATATACTTAATTTATATTTCTACAATATTTATTAGCAAGCAAAATAAAATAGGTCACAACTGAAGTAGCTGCTAAATTAAGTTAGCAATAAGAAAAATGTGAGCAATCTGATAACATTATTTCGATCCAACCCGTGTTCGTTTGTTCCATGAAAAATTGGATCCATAGGACTTGATATTCATTTTTAAAATATTTGGACTTTCTACGTAACATGGCCATCCCTGACGTTTGCAAAACTCTTCCGCCGCCTCAGAAGTTTCAAATTCAACAACTGTCGTTGAAAGTGGGTCACCACTGCTCGCCCAACCCATCAGTGGATTTTCCCAGCGTTCGCGATTGTCGAACTCAATACGCCAAAGTCGAGTGCCATGAGTGCCTGATTGAGTAGCAGGTTTAGCTGGGATGAAAATTCTAACACGCCTTTCAGATTGGTGTTCTTTTGGGACTCCATTTACTGGCGTCAAATCATCTTCGAGAGGAACCGTAATAACATCATCTTTAGAAAACTCTGCTGATTTCTTCATAATATGTTTCGCCTATTGAAATTATTAAAGATTAAAAGAAAGGTACATAGACACCATATTATGCCAAGCTAGTACAAGAAATAAGTACTACATGGAACACAACAAATACCCTCAGAGTAGCAGCTATGTAACCTTATTAATCCGGTCACAATAAGACAAACACTGTCACTTTATGCTTTTGTCTACAGATAACAACTGTATACACAATCATGTCTAGACCACAGATCTAAGCAAATTCGGCTTGTCAGAACTTCAACCAACAGATTTAAAACCACTTGAAGTCTAGCGCTAGAACCAAAAAATAGCCGACATAGTGACCACGTTTTGATATTGAGTGAGAACATTCTGTTTTCCAGACCTAGACAAGATTCATATGAATGTACCTGCTTGGACCGTGCTAAACCTTTATGACCATCTGCGACGCACCTTGCCGATTTATGAAGGTTTGATGACTGGCAATAAGTTTTTTTATATAGATAATCAGCGTCTTCATGAATGGTGTTATTCAATATTTGGGAGGCTTAAAATGTCGTCACTAAAATTGAAGCAGTCTCGAATTCCAGGCTTTTGGTATATACAGTAAGGTCTAAACTGTATGGAAGTAGAAATATAAAACTTGGAAAGTGTTCCTGGAGGGTTTGCTGTGGCTAGACATAACCATTTATTTCTTTAACCTTTTAGTCATGTAAGATCGATTAAACGATAAGCAACATATGTGGTAAGTTTGAATTCCCCAGAAAATTTCGCATAGGAAGCAGGTTCTCTGAAGAACATATTAGTTCCTGTACGTCTTTATTCTACCAAGCCCAAAAATATTATAACCATAGTAGGTTGGGATATAACAAAAAAATACATATTACAACCACAGGACCTTTCAGAACTTTAAGTCTGATAAGTACTAGAAACTTTTGGACTATGATTAGAGTTTAGATAACCAAGTATTGGGAAGTTTTGATACACTACACGGTATTGTTGACCTGCAATCGCGTAAGTTAACTTACGCGCTACATACAAGTAGTTAGCTCTTGTCTATAAGACTGAACTACCTGAAAAGGTTCGAGGAATAGTGGTCACGTTGGTCTCATAATGTCATGGCTCCAAATTTGACATTTTGAGGAAGGAACCAGGGTAGCTATATCAAAATATTCTAACTAACTGATAAGGATTATGGGTCTAATATGTTCTTTAAATCCTATATTACAAACCAGTAACATCCTGCTTAACCTTGTCTTGAAATAAAATTGCCATCTTGGAGGCCATTGAGCGCTTCAAACACTCTTGCTATTGACATTCTCTATACTGATGGGAACTGAAGTCCCATGTCCTAATTTTTTAAAGAGCAATCCGTGTAACACTGGCGCAACCTTAACCAAGTGAGTATGAAGCACCTGTAGCCTACACCTAAGGATAAATAAGCAATCATTATGACAAAATAAAATCAATAACTTATAACAGGAAGAAATGTTTAACCTCTTCAGTTGAATCAACTAGCCTGGTTCGAAACCATGGATCATCCGTCTCTGCTAGTTTCATCCGAATTTCGAAAGTCATTTTCGCAGGTGTTCCCTTACTGACTTTCCATCTTATAGGTTGATACAGTAGTTCACAAAGAGATAATCCTCTGGGGAATTTAGTGGTAAACATTTAGAAACAGGGCGAGTAACGCCAACTTTAATTAAGGCGCTCGCCAGAAACCAGTTTATGAAGGACGGAAATCTTTAAGGTTAGTATAGGTTCTGGAGATCATCATCTGTTATTCAATCCAATTTTACCTTGAATGACCATTTTTATAGAGCCACAAGTAGGTTTTAAGGTTGAGAATTCTACTGGTTAACAATTCGTTGTGAAAGTCAATCTTAAATCTTCAGCAATAAGGACAGAGGTCGTTGGACCTGTCTTAATCTTTTCAGCTGTTTTTCCAGTGAACACTCAGCTTCTCTTTGAAACTGATTACTGGTGGGACTGACATCATTTGTTCGGGCAAGACATTCCAGTTGTTAAACATCAAATGAGAAAAACGAAACCCTACTCTGAGTTTACGGCCTTGGGGATGATTAGTTCTAGAGGGAATAAAAAGACTGGCCATGTTAACACCCTAATTGCTGTCAGTGATACAGAATGCCAAAATAAGGTCACCTAGGGCCCTATTATACTATAAGGGTAAAATGGTTCAAGTGTTTCAATTGCTCATCGTAAGAGAATTTAGAAAGACCCACAACTGTTTTTGTTCTCACAAATTAAATAGTCTCTTGTGTTTAAAATACTTAATAAAACATGAACCGGTTGCTTGAATGCAGTATCGCATGTTTGGTTTCCTTTAGATGGTGTATAAAACCCGAAAAATCTCATCAAAACATATGGATGTTCAACGAAGTGACCACAGCACTCGAAAACATTTTGTGGCTTCTGCATTGCAACCTTCAGTTGCTCATTAGTCATAATTTACTGTTGCTTCATGGTCTTTTTGTTCCTGAATGTATGGGGATGGTTTGCCATTGATAGTATACTGGTTACTATCGTTACGTTCGATGTGCAATAACACACTTTCTATGATTAATTCCTAAGCCCAAGTTTATGAACGTTTAACTTATTCAAGCTACGTCAGCTTCGAGGTCAAGATGATCAGTCTCGTTACTTATTGTCCTTCAGATTTTGGAATCACTTGCAAACATCAATGTAGACGACTTAAGCGTTAACGGTAGTTCATTAATGTAGAGAAGAAAAATTAGGGAGTCTGAGATGGTGCCTGGGATACACCACTTTTTGCCGGCTTCCATCGAGGTTGCATCCCATTTTCCTACACCTCTGTCTTAGGCTACAAAAGAGGCTCCCAATCCACTCCTGTATTACACTTGTAATGCCATAGCTCGAGAGATTGGGATAGGACTTTATCAAATGCTTTGGTAAGATCTGTGAACATCACACTGTTGGACAAATCATTATCTTGGGCTGCTGTTCAACCCTCCATCGCAGTCAGTAAGTTAGCTGAGGACAGATTATTGGTCCAAAACTCGTGTTGCTCAGGATTTGATAGTGCATGATTCTGTATGACTTAGTTAACTGGCCGAAAATATTTTTCGGGTAATCTAAGCACTATTCTGGTTAGACTTTTGTGGCACCATGTAACCATCTTTCTATTGGTGGAAGAAATCAGACTGGTAGTGAATAGGTTTTCATTTAGGTCGCGAGACAACACACAGTAAAGCGGGAGGTCACCTGTTCAAACACACAAAGCTTTTCAACATTCAACATATGATAGTAGGAAATATGCCTATACAAAATAAGGAAATGAATGAACAATTGAGCTCTATTATTTTGACGTATGCTTCGTTTTTTGAGGTCAACTACTAACTAATCGACTCAAGTCTTTACAAAACTGACAGGTCGGTGACTGAATACAATCTATCTTTCTATATTTAAATGTGGGACTGACTTTAGCATTCTTCCAACCCTTAGTGAATCAAGTTTAGAAAGGGAACGTGTTGGACGGCAGTTTGAGTAATTTTTAAAGTTCCTACAACGGATGAAAATAGTTGTGGATGTATCCATCAGGACCTGTGAATTACCAAATCTGAGGCTAACGAGCGATTGAAGAACAATCTTCTCAGTCATACATATTGTTCCCATGAGTGGTATGTCAATGGTGTGGTTATGAGAGGTGTTGTTAACAATGACCTTAGAACTGACGTCGCTAAAATGGACTAATAAAGTCCCAACTTTGACCGGAACTGATCCAGGTAGTGTACCTGAATTTTTGTGCAACAATAATCGTGGACTCCATCATTATGTTTCGCTCTTTGTCTAATGTACGAAAACAACC